AGGGCCGCCGGCGCTGCCATTTCGCAGGCGAGGGGCCGCCAGGGTTGGGATGGATCTGGCTGTCCCCCTGGGGACATGGCAGCCTCAGGATCCTGCCCTGGTACCCTGGGGGGGGGCCACGATGCCCTGGCAGGGTGGGAAGCTTGAAACCCAGCAGGATGCGGCCCGTGGCAGCCCTGCTTCTTCCCACTAGGGAGCCCTGCCCCCGGTGCCCCCCCTCCGTGTGGCGTCGCGCAGGCAGCTGTCTGTCACTGCCGCGACGCTTCAATATTTCATTAAGCTGGAGCGAGGGGACCTGCAGCCAAGGGGGGAATCTCCTCCTTCCCCCCCCCAACCCCGCTCGGGGGTGGGGGGGTAGGGGGGTCTAAAAGAGCCGCCGGGGGGGTGGGGGGGGGGTGTTCATTACCCAGGATTGGGGCCCACTGCACGCCTGGCCCTTGTGATGTCCCTGGGGGTGATGGGCCACGTGTGCTGGACCCCTGCCCAGCTGAAAAGGGACTGGGACCAGCCCTGGAGCCTCCCTGCCAGCCTCCTGTGTCCAGGGGGCTGCCCTGGGGGGGCACATCCAGCCTGGACCAGATGCAGCCAGTTCTGGGGGCGGCACAGCAGGGCTGGGGGTGTGAGGCAGGGCCCAGGGTGCAGCCCCCCCCATCACCCTGCCGCGCCATGCCTGGTGCCCCTGCATGTCACAGGGGGTGCGGGAGGGGCTATCGGCTCCCCTGGGGCTGGGCTCTCAGCTCTCCCCCTGCTCCCCCCAGGTGAGTGACAGGTGAAATTATCTGCGGCGCATCGGCAGCAGACGCGCCTGGCAGGGAAGGGGGGAGCATTGGGGGGCATGGGCAGTGGAATCCCGCCCCCCAGAGCCAGCCAGGACCTGCCCCCTGCCCTAGGGCAGCCGGGTGGGGGCATGTCCAGCAGGGGGGCACCAGGAGCAGGGGCAGGAGCACTGGTGGGGGGGGGGCATTCAGCTAATCTACTCCCCAGCCAGCGGTACTGCAGGGGGCAGGGCAGGGCAGGGCAGGGCAGGGGGCTTCCAGCAGGGGGCGCTGTGGGGAGTGGGGCAGAAGAACTGATGGGTGGGGTCTCAGGTAACCTACCCCTCCAGGCTAGCCCAGCATGGGCAAGGCAGTACGGCTGTGGGGGGGCTTCCAGCAGGGGGGCTGGGGGGAGCTAGC